TTTTACCTGATTCCTTTGATATGCCAGTTTATTCAACAAATGATTTGCTTTTTTTCTTTGTTTTCGTCTCTCATCTAGTTTATCATCTATATTTCAATCTGCTGCAGTAGCCGGGTACCAGCCAGACAGACAGTTCGTTTGAGACCCAAATATAATTACAAGTTAGTCGCTTTGTTAGTAATATTAAACGATAGAACCAGCCCTAAATAAATTAATTGAACGTCTTTTAGACTTTGCAAAGTCTAAAAGACTTTCAATTACTACTAATTACTGGAGTTGAATAGGATCAAATTGTGTGGAGTCATCTCTACATTTTATTTCAAGCAATTCAAAAAGTTAGTGTTGCGAAACCCACGGCTCAGTAGCCAGGATACCAAGATGCTACACCGTGGAGACTGGTTTGCACTCTCTTTGTTCAAAGAAGGTTAAAAAGACTTTCTAACGAATTATTTCAATAAATTTGAAACACAAGTTATTGTTATTCGCGTTCGGTTCCAGATAATTCAGTATCTCTTACACGACAACCGAACCCTAATTAGATCATTTAGTGTAACTATTTACATCAGCGATTTGAGAATATAAAGGCATTGAAGATGTAATTTAAGCATATTATAAAGCTAAAGCACATCTAGTACGCAATAGACCATATCCGCCTTTAACACGACTTTAAAAAAGAAGGTTAATTATCAATTCGACTGTTTTTTTATTTATTTTTGTCACTTTTGTGTATATGTATTTTTAGAGGCTAGTAAACAGTTTACCTGAAATAACATTTGTACACGTACTTTTACAAAATAATTGTAGAGCCGTAAAGGGAAAATTCTGACGGGTTTGAAGTTATATAAGATTCACTCGTCATTATTAAAATAATGACAAAAGATAGATACAAGGTAAATGATGCGTAGTTTTAAATTAAAAAATTAACTTTAATTTTACAAATTGTATAAGTAAAGTAAAAATTTATAACATTATTATATTGCAACATGTTTTCATACAAACGAAACATAACTATGAAATTTACATTGACATATTTAAAAGAATAACTGCCACCCAAAAATCTTTTCTTATTTAAAACATAAATATAATAGGTATTTATGTCGTTCTAGTTAGTATCCGGCGCTACCGCAAAAGAAATAATTGTGGAAATATAATTTTAAATTTGAAAGAGTTATGTATATTGTTTAGGAATGACAATTTGTAGGTACGATACGCGCGCACCTACTGTAAGTTAATTGTACTATGCCTATAATCTTCGCGCAACTGCAAGGAATAAGTTAACAAAGTTTTACCGCGACCTGATGTACGATATGCCGGCGCATGAAATACGAACAAACAAATTAATATTAATTTTCATATATTAGATTTATCTTGACTGAAATACCCGTATTCAACGGCCCCATATAATATCGATACTCAATCATTTAGTTCGGTATTGAAAATATTGACGCTACCTTATCATTTATTATCAGGCAGGCACCTCAATTCGACACGCTGGGCGGGAAGCGACGATAAGCGAACGAGAAAAGAATTCAAAAGCGGGACGGGGTTCCTCAAATTATATTATTATCTCGGACTTCTTGTTTGCAGCGCTCTCGACGCTCGGATAACCACTTAACTTGGAAGCCGCTGCACAATAAACCTATCCAATATGAATTTGATTGTGAAACAAACCTTTTTTTTTGTAATCGATTGTTACTTTGCTTGCAATACAAAAATATGTTTTACACTCCAACATGTCTTAGTAACAAGATGGCTTTATAAACATTTCTATTATGAAGAACTCGTCAGACATGACTTGCGTGTGTGGATCCTTTTACGTCTGAATAGAAATAGTAGTAGCATAGTAAAAACAGAATAGTAGGCTATCTTCTAAGAAGTGTACCGAACGCAGTTAATATATTATGTGTGTGCCTGGCACGTGACAGTACGTACATCGTACGCACGAGCCACAGCACGCACACAAAACTACACTTGCAATCGAGAAGATCGGGCCGAGTCGGGAACGCCCACTGCCGCGCTCTGCAACCACCTTTGTTTGAGACTTTGTTGACTTTTAATAAAATATTGCTAGCAGGCTTTTTTTTCATTTTATTCTCTTTTTTTGTGAAATAAATTAATTTTACATTTTATTACTATATATATACATAGATACACACCTCATCATATCACATCAGATGACATTAATTTAAAACATTAAATCTGATCTGACACCATATGCCATATGTATTTTAGTTATTTGGCATTTGTTGTAATGTAAAGCGATATTTTTTTTTCGACAAACATTGATTCTTTGAGAGGATTCTTATAACACTAAATGAGACTTAGCTGTTAAACAAAAAGACATTGACAACCCTGCAAGAATAGGCCTTTAAGTCTAGCGCGGGAAGCATCCTACTATATTGTTTTTACTTTGGTAATAGTCCACCTATTAAGTGAGTTCATGTGTTAAGTGAATTGAAATTCATTCATGGAAGTCTGTCAGGATATTTGTTATGGACAGAATTATTTTAAATGCGCAAGGACAGGTAAGGAAAGACGACTGAGAGAGAGAGAGAGAGAGAGAGAGAGAGGTAAGGCGCGAAACCTACGGCATTAAGTGTTTTCAAAGGCACGGAGGCGAAACACCACCCACTTCCTGATCGAATTCTGCTATTGATAAGTTTTTAATAGAAGACCCAATAACTGATTTTTTGGGGACCGCCCGACGATCCCGGTAACACATGATCGGCTCTCACACTTACGACCACCAGACCAACGATGCAGACAGCAGGGTACAAGAGTACAGAACCAACGACATTTGTATAATATGTACGTTAAAATAGCTTACACAAATATGGAAAAACAAAATAAAAAGGACTGATTAGTAGTTATGCAAATCAGATTCGGAGCGAGACCTTCAACAACAATAATATCGGGTGTCTTTATAGACACCTGAAAAAATTGAAGATCCGCAACAGCCCCCGGCGCTCCCCGGCGGCGTATCAAATAACTTAGCCGCTTTTGTTATGGTAATGCCCCGTTGAAATTATCCGTTCCGCGTATAATCTCGAAAGAAATAAAAAGTTCGCATCGCAACATAAAACCCTGCTTTATTTTCAGCTTCACCTGAAATCCATAATACCTTTAGTTGTAAGGTAGGTTTATGTGGATAATAAAGTCAAGAAACTTCCATCATAGATTAACAAAATGCTGTAAAGAATGCATTCGAACCAAAAGGTTTATTTAATCATAATATAAAAATACGAGTGCTTTCATCCACGCATTCATTACAAACTACTCAACATAGGCCTGCCTATATATAGCCTCATAACGTAAAATAAAGTATTAGGATAGTTTTGTATTGTTATTATGTATTTTACCACGTTTTAATTAAGTCACTTTCTTGTCTGTGTGTCTGCCTGTCTATCGTTCCGGGTGGTATCTTGGAACTCAAATTTCGAGCACTGCCCGATTAGCTTGTGACTTCAAAATTTGAACATTGCTCAGAATCGGATGACAATGTAGGAATATGAAAAAAACGTGGTATATAAATTTCTTGTACAAAATTAAAAAAATTACTTGATTAAAATAAATATTGTGAAACAAGTATACGGGTATATTCAAATGGAAAAAATGAAGTAGTTTCACCATGTGACAACAATCGCAAATATAAATTATAGTAGGATATTTGCCAGAGTTGCCTTCGACAGTCGGGTTATTTGGATGATTTGAGTAGTGGATTCTCTTATATATATCTATATATAATAATAAAATATTATTATATTAAAACTTATTAGTTGAGTTCGTCACGGTTAAAGCATAAATAGATATTTTATATAGCTGTTAACGAGCTTAAATGCAATAAAACTTAAATAAATCCCCATCAAGCAATATTAAAACATTAACTATTAAGTCCATTTATAGTTTTAGTCACATTTATAATACAATCTTTTTACCTCTATGCACATTTAGTACTGAGAATTAAATGTTTTGTACCCCTACCTCGCCACCGCAACACCGAGCAGATCGGAACAAAATTAAATCGAATTTCTAGTCGAACGAGTTGAGAATCTTGGGGTCCTTTGAGGACGGAATGTCCGTTAATACGAGGCACGATCAAACGGATTACCGTGTTGCTCACAAATCCCTTTCCGGAGACATGTTCTTTGACGTAAGTTTGTAATTATATTGGTTTAGTTATAAGTATCACAAGTAAAAAGCTTATTAATTCTAGTAATACTGCAACTAATTTCCCTAATATATAAGGTCACATCACGAATTTAATTCATATTTGATACAATCCGTCCATCGTAAAACTATATTTGGTTTTGCGATGGACGAGACAATTTTCTATAAAACTAAAAATCAATAGTCTCCTGTTTCACAACTGATAACTTAAACACTTACGGCTTACGGACAGAATTAAGTTGTTTACGTTATGCAGCTTTAAATAAACAATTAAAATATCAACAACACACTTCACAGACTAAAGATAAGATATTTTGAATATTGATTAATTATTCTATCAACAACAGAACGAATCAAAGTCAATAAAGTAATGCGCTCGAGCTCATAAACATATACTAATCAGAGATGTATTTACTTCTATTGAAATTTAAAATGATTAGGCAGAATGTATATAAAAACTGTTTTATATAAATATTTCGAAATTAGATTATGATAAATATTTCGAAGCCATGTAAAGTCCGCCAACACGCATCGGTTCAGCACGGTGGTCACTTCCGTGCCCTAAAACGCTCTTAGAAGTTAGAGGAGTTCTGTGCTCAACAGTGGGATTTATATAGGGTATAACTTTATTATCCTACGCAGTATGACATATAGTGCCAAACATTTGGGCCTCGTTAAATTATGAGACAGCAGTATTTAGAGTTATTGATAAAGTCAGGAAAGTATACTTTCACGCTGACGAGGCCAATATTACTTCCAAAAATAGAATTTAACAACTCGGCTGTCACAACTCTGATCTACTATAGTGTTAATGAGACGACAGTGGTACTTACATGGCGCCGGGCTAGGTGGCTCCGCACATATGCCTATTGATTTGCTGGGGTCGTCGAGCAACGTTTGCGCGAGATGGTAGTCGCCGAGCTTGATCTGTATCTGCTGGCTGACACGGTCCCTGTTACCGGTCACCTGAAACAAAATTTGTTCCTTATAAAGACTCGTCAATTATTCCACACGATGGATATAACCATTAGAAGAAGAATAATGTAAATTTTCTCTTATGGTCTGGTACTCTTCGATTATATTTATTTTATTTATTTAAGAAATTTATGATAACAAAGATGAATAGTTTTAGTGTAAACATAAACTCATTAGAGTTTTTCCGTACACCATTGCTGTCGACACATTATTCTAATTAACACTTTACAATACATTACATTACCAAAGTTACCTTGATATTATTATCAATTTAAATTAGGTGCATTAAATGTTATGTTTCTAATTGACAAACTATTTGTGGGTACAAAAATATAAAATAGTTTTAGGCGATGAGCGTAACATCACAAGGTGAACTTATTACATCCTGTGAATAATCGTGATACAGGCTGATTATAACATATATTTTCATAAATTTATAATAAGATAATATGTTGGTAAAGTAAACCAATAACATAGAACGAGAAGTTGTTTAAAGTGTTACGAGTATTTAGTAAGAGTTAATTGTATATAAAAAAAAATTAATTTATATTTTATGTTTTTACGTGTAATGACGTCTTTCAAAGATTTAGGTAACTGATTGATTAGATTAGGTATAACATAGTTTAAAGTTCTTTTTCCGTATAAGTTATTATATCTAGGTAACTGCAGTTTTAGATTATCAGTTTCGCGTGCCGAGTATAATAACTTTTAAACTTTGCCTCTAACTCCATTGTGACTTTCATTTCACAATGGAGTTAGAGGTAAACAATTCCTTAGCTTTTCTAGATGTCTTAGTAATTCGGAATCCTCATAACACCTTGAGCCATACTGTATATAGAAAAAAGACCCATACAGATAGATATTTAAACGGTGATTCTCACCACCATACTTCACAGTTAGCTACCGTGGGTAAATCTTTGTTTCAGAGAGCACGAGGGATCTGTGATAATAAACACCTGGCTGCGGAGCTCCACCATGTCAAGCAAGTTTTGCATGACAACAAGCTTCGGGTCCCGCGCCTACGTCACAGTGAACGAGTGAAGCCGGCCACGGTCGAACGTGTACCCGCTGTACTGCCATATGTTATAGGAGTCACTGACAAGATTGGCTACATCTTGAAGCGCGCTTCCATCAAAACATACTTCAAGCCGCTGAAGAAGATTGGTCAGTTTTTACCATCAGTCAAGTATAATGTCCCTCTGCAAGATGCAGGAGTGTACAAGCTTGATTGTGAATGTGGTCTCTCCTACATAGGACAAACTAAAAAATCAATTAAAACCCGCGTTAAAGAACATATAGCTGATGTGAAAAATCGACGCTCCGGGAAGTCTGCAATCTGTGAACACGTACAGGATCGCCCCTGTCACTACATCAGATTTGATAGACCACAAATCCTCGCTAAAGAACACCGATTCCTTCCAAGGATGATTCGCGAGGCTATTGAAATCAAAAAACATCCTAATTTCAATAGAGAAGATGGCTGGGTGCTACCATCTGCTTGGGATCCTATAATAAATAAAATTAAATCCCAACCCAAGCGTACAACTGCAAGACTTCAAGATACCATAAGTTGTATAGATCGGAACAAAAGTTAAATTTTAATCTATGGTAACCGCGGTTAACTATGACATCTGGACGTTGATCATCTCAGTCCCGCCCGTGACCATGAGTGCTGTAAAGCGTTCGAAACGTCGGGTATTTAAACAGTTAAATATACGCGATAAATTCCGTAAAAACTAGTATTATTTCAATGTGTAGTGTTCGCGTAAATATAAGAAATCATTAAGAAACTGTGTTATAAATTAGATTTGACGAGGTACGAACAAATTAGTTTTGTTAAATATGGTATGTTGAAAAATCTTTAAAACATTATTTTAACGTAACACTGCAGCGATAGTGAAACAAAAATGAATACCCACTGTCCCATATCGTCCCCTGGGTGCCGTAAGAGGCGACAGAGAGAAGTTAGCCACGAGACGGCCAGCAGCGTCTTCCTAATAACAAATAAAATTAAAAAAATGCGGTTGCCAACTCACCTGCCAAGCGTGGCAACTACAGCAAATATCCGACCCCACTATAGGGCACCTTTTTTATAGGATTAGGGTAACAAACGAGCACACATTCCACCTGATGGTAAGTGGATGCTGTGGCTGTGATAAGTGGATACCTTTAACCTCGATTAAAAATCAAAATGCAGATGCGTTGTCAACCCTTGAGAACTAAGATGGAATGCCTCGCTTCCAGTAAAAACGGTCTCCGGTTCTCTACACTCACCATACGAAACACAGCAGCATTAAGCAGCTATTTTACGCTGGTATGCTATGAGAGTGTGGTTCTTCCCCGGTCGAGCCGACCCAGTCATGCTACAACTATAATAACGACAGCGTGGCTCTACCACGTTGATCTTTGATCTTTTGGGGAAGCCTATGTTCAACAGTTGACTTTTGCTGGGCTGTAACGGTCACTGTAACAGTAAAAAAATTTTGATGGCAACACGTAACAACTTTTTTGTTAGAATATCTACTGAAATTAAAAATAATATTAAAATTTAAGAAAACTTATAAAACAGGCATTGATCCTGAACAGTGACGATTTCAGAGATACTTATCCTGGTGGTTCTGATCAGGGTACTAAGATAATGTTATAAAATTATTGCAATGTAATCATCGGTCTTTGATACGCGTGTAAATTTTCAAGTCCATCGGCCGTCTACAATTTGATGAAAATTACATCCAAATATTCCGTTACATAGAAAAATAAATACATACACGCAAAGCTAATGAAAGTCTGTTAACAGAAAATTAAATTTGTATAAATATTTTATTAGCATTATATGCACAGACAATATCTAAAGAGAAATTCATTGAGGTTTCTCATTGCGGGTAACTACGCTCTCGGTCTTTACATTAAATATTCATAGTTCACGTGGTGTCTATTCTACGTATGAACATACGTAGCCACAATACATAGCCTAGTTAGCGTGACGTAGATAGTGGGTGTGAGAATTATTGCCGTATGACGTGACGTAATACCACAGAATAAGTAATAGTACAAAAGACGTAGAACTACTTCTAACTGTGACTTCATTCATATTATGTTAAACAAGGCGAGATATTTAAAATATAAGAATTGAACTCAACGTAAAATTTCATACAAGAGTTCTAACTAAGTACTTTTTATCTTTTTTAAGTTAAAGATTCTATTAGTCTTTACATAATATTGTATTGCCCTATCGTTGAACTGGCCTTCGTTAAACTGGAATTTATCATCGTCTATATATATAGCGGGTAAATACAATCCAAATATATAACAAATTACCTAAAGATATAAGAGACTCAAAATCAATGCACACATTTAAATGACTACTTAAGTATCACATATTGAAAGAGTAAGCACACTTATACATATATAAATAATATAATATGTATGTGTATGTATATGAGTATATATATATAAGTTTTGTCGTATAGGGATATATATGTATGAATAATTTTCGTGTTTCAATAACTGGTATAAATAAATACATAATATCTAAGTTAACATCTGCTTATACACTAAAAACATCAATTATTTAAGTTACTTCAAATAATAAATTATATAAATATTACAACAGCTCATTAAAGATATAAATTTTCATACATGACACTTAGTCAGATTTTTCTTGACTATCAAAACTAGTAAACTAGAAGTCGGCGGCCGAATTTGCACGAAGTCTGACGAGCCATTGCTGTCGCTAAACAAAATTTTTAAAACCACCTACATTTAGTTTTGTATGTCCTCGGTAGTTTTTTTGTTGTAATTTGCGTTATTACCTTGTACGAATAGCCCAAACCAAATTTATATTAAGCTGTAGATATGTGAGTCTCATAAGTGAATGTAAAATTCTTGAGATAATAAATTTCTTAAACCAGAAATACTTCAAAGGCGTTAGATTCAAAAAATGTGATCTACGCGCTCGCTGTAAATTTCATAGTACGCGAGCAAACCGGGTTCGATCCCCGCCGGCACCAATAAAATTGTTAATTGTAATTTTAAGTGCTGATTTACCATGCCCTCGGTGGTGAAGGAAAACATCGTGAGAAAACATGTATGTCTGAGAAATAAAAAAAATATTTCGAAGATATGTGGGGCAGCGCGGCGGACAATTCCTTGCTCTAAAACCCTCCTAGAAATGAGCAGAGGCCTGTGCTCAGGAGTAAACACTACCGAAAATAGATCTTAAAATGCTTGATTTATTCGAGAATTGATTATATTTTGATCGTTTCAAATTGAATCAGAAATAGGTTTTTTATTATATTATGTGAATTTTTTGAATTTTGAACTGGTTTGAACAGAGATAGCCATGATTTCATTAATTTTCAATAAATTTAAGATACGCGGGCGACACAAAGATTTTAAAACTAGCCACTTGTAAACGATATATTAAAAAAATTCAAATTTTGAAAATGAAACTATTTGACAGTATTATTGTGTATGTATTTTATTCATTTGTCCTTTGTTAACGATTTGGCGGCAAATTAAAAATTGTCTGTGGTCACGTCAGAATGAATTTAACGCGAGATTTTTTTTTATTTAAGTCAACAAGAAAGTTATGATAGCCTTCGATTGGCGTTTTCACCATGAAGCCCCATCTCGTGCCATTGTTTACAACTGGTTTAATGAGTTTAAACGTGGTCGCACTAATCTCATCAATGATCTGCGTGAGGGACGGCCTTCTACTGCGACGACTGAAGATAACATCAGTGTTGTGCGGCGTATGATAGAGACTGACAAATCGTTATGAGTCAAGTGCACAAAATCCTCCATGAACATTTAACGGTCAGGAAGCTTTGTGCCCGTTGGATACCTACCTCATAATTTGACAGAGGCCCAAAAACTCCGTCGTGTTGATTGGTGTCGTGAAATGGTTCAAAGATTTAACGGAGGTGACTCAATTGTTGTGTTCGACATACTTGCGGGTGACGAAAGCTGGATTTATTATTAAGATCCTC